ATCAAATCCCTCACCCCAGAGACCTCCACAAGGGGGATTAGAAAGTTAGAATCACAGACTTGTCCGCACAGAGGATTTTTGAGTCTGTCGCAAGAGATCCTGTGAGGATGAAGCCGAACCTGGCTCTGCATTCCATAAACATTGACCATTTTCGGATCAAAATGATCACTGGATCTGGAACGCCATTCCATAAAGAGACAAAAGGTGCCTCTGATTTTTTTTTGCTCTCTGAATCCTGGTCACTATTATATAAAAAGGTCGGGTTCTCATTTTATAAAGCAGCAGCATGTGGGTTTCCATTTTATAAATGATTGTTCCTTATAAAATGAAGTCACGGATCCCAGAGACCTCCACAAGGGGGATTCAATTGTCATACAGGTCCAAGCCTTGCTGGCATGTGGAGCTATGATCACTAAATTGGGCATCCCTTGGAGGCGTGACCATATTGGCACCAGTCATGTTGTTGGAAAACGGAGGTTTTCTCCAAGTTACCATAAATCAGCCCAATCGAATCGGTGCAAGGCGGTTCTTCTTTGCTTCTGCATCTTGGGCTCACATGCCACGCAAGCAATCGACCGCATGTCCAGGTTTCCGAATCCCGACAGTTTGCAGGATGATGATGTCGTTGAGCATGAAGGGGATCGATTTGAAAGATCTATCCATATGCATCGGGCTGCAGAACTGGACAGTGAGATTGAAGTAGTGTCAACCCCTTATGGGGCACAAGACTTACGTGAATGGACTCCCAACGACAGTTGGGGTAGCGAGATACAGGCCCTACCAGAGGCCCATGACTATCTCGAAGAGATGAGTGATCACCTTTCTTCGCATTGTGAAGGTGGTCACTTTGAACCAGCTCTCACCATGAGACAAGAAGGCGACGGCCAGCAATCCGCTTCCTCCGAAGCCGACAGGTTGAACATTGACCTGGAAAGCATGAGGGGTGTTGACAATGGGCCATCATTTTTGGGCAGTTTTGTTCTCAGAACACGGACACAAGATCATTGTGTTTCTGAATCACGCCACTCCCTTTGTAACCAGAAGAGGCAGATAAGCAATTTCGTCTTTGAGCATGAGGTAGTTCGTGCCAAGGTGTGGTTTGCACCTGATGGGGGGTGCTCCAAGGAAGCGAGAGACACATATATTTCAGCTGACTCGTTTGAGAACGTCTGTGAATATTTGTGTACTGTTTGGTCTGATAGGATTGACCTGCACTTATGTTCGTGTCAAGTTGTTTGGCCTCAGCCTTCCGAACATTTCGCGGTCGATACCACACACTTCCTGGTTTTCCTTTCTCAAGGTCCAACGGCAGTCCTTGTACGACAGGTCATTCTGAGTAACCGGAATCCTACTAGAGTTGACTTTTGTGCATGTGCTGCTGCCTTCATGAACCGAGAAAGTACACTCCAGCAACTGTCTAAGGTACCTCGTAGAAGGGGTGAATTGGTGGACATTGAGGCTGTTGGTGCAGAAAGTGTCTGTGATTCGCATAGGACCGAAGTTGCAACCCATTTTGGTGATGATATATCCCTTATGCAGGCAATGGGTTCTTTTGCTTCAATGGTTGGACTCGCAAGATTTGAATATGCCGTTGAGAACCAGTGCTGCATTCACCCGATTGCCGACTATACGAGGCAGAACTTCATCAAGAAGGATGGTTTGCGGCAATGGTTCCGAGGGTTTATGCATGGAGTCAACGAAGACTCGATTCGTCTTGCTATATGGAAAGTGGAGATGAGCAAGGCGGTCACACTCTCTTGCAAATATCTTCTTCTGGACGACAGCAATTGGGCCAGACAGTTTCGGAGCATCTGGAGATCTGACCCAGGCTCTAGCACTCCTGAAATTGCGATGGTGGAACCTCAGCCACCTTCGATCAGCAGTGACGAAGACAAGCCAAAGCATGTGATCGCAATAGAGCACAACCGGATGCCTGCCGATCAGGTGGTTCATCTGTATGACATTTGGTGGACGGATGACCCTCACATCGGAACAGGAAGAGAGTTCTTGGCCCGAAGAGCAGTGCGAACAAGGAGGTCTTTGTCAATCAACCAGATTGCGGAAATACTGGGTCTTGTGAACAGTCAAAAAGAGCAGCATTTCTATGCCTTACATCGGTTGGCAGGCGGGCAGTCCATGTTTCAGTTTCAAGATTACCAAAACTTGGGTGTGCCTGATTTTTCGCATGTTGATTTTATCATTCTTGAGCAGAAATCGGCGTGCGAGAATTCACTTGATGAGCGGGGACCAGCTGAAAAGGGTGTCCCCCATGTCTCTTCGAGTGTTGACGACAGGCCGCAAAGCAACCGAGCAGGGGACAACACTGCAACCCCGGTATATGATGACGCACTCACAGGGCTCATGCAAACGACTGCATAGATCGAAGCCACACTATGCTTTGAGCCAATACGAACGCCAATCCAGCTCAGCAGAAGGGGAGACCCTTCTTGGAGGCTCTGGAATCATTTTGCAGGCGATAGAGTTAGAATCTGGCCGCAGCTGGATGAAATATCAGTTTGGGTTCTTGCTGAAGGGCTTTTTGTACAGTCCATCCCTTTGACGTTGTTTTCGTCGAGGCCGGGCAGCCCAACTACTAATGATCCGATGTATCTATGGGAGCAACTGGGTGGGAAGACCATACCTATAGTGTTGATGGTGTATCCCAACCCAGATCCTGTAGTCATGCCGTATGAGCATCTGATCTTTTTACCCTTGTTGGCACATGATGAGAACCAAAGAGCTTTTGTTGTTGATCTAGTACAGCAACCAGAGCCCTCTAAGTTCCCCATGGAAAGAGTAGCCGTACGTGGTAGCCAGCTCACACCTCGCAGAGTGGCATCGATGCTTGGACATGCATGTCATGGGTGCAGGACAGCTTGTACAGCAAGGAAGGGTCTTCCCACCTTTGTTGAAGATCAAGAAATACGATACCCTACTGGGTCGTATATTATTCTGTTTCTTCTGCAGCCAGTCCAGGCCCGGGCGCAAGCAAGGACTCATCAAGTTCAGGCCCAGCCGCCACACTGTGAAGATGGTGATGAGACGGGATTATATCAGTTTGTGCCACCTCCGAGGCAAGGGTCTCATGGAGACAGTGAAAGGTTTTTCTGGGTGCGTAATACTGTGGTCTATCAACCTGCCTTGCTTAACACGGCCCTTAGGGTAGGCATCCTGACTCATCTGCATTGGCCGCTTCTTGCCGTCCATTTGCATAATCGTCCTGTTGAGGTGCGTACTTTTGGGTTTGAGGCCCGTGAACAAGTGAGCTCCGATGACATACGCACTAGGTTCCGGGAACTTTATGCTGACCAGTTTCGCACTGAGGAAATTGTGAGCATTGGGCCAGTAGGATTGGACCTGCTCCAGCATCAGCGAGTACATATATACACAACATACACATGATCGCTTTCCGAGGCAGAATAGGCCCTTCTTCGCGGCCGATACTGTTGTGGGTGCGATTCCGTGAAAAGAATCAGATTGAGACTCGAGCCGAACTGGCAGCCAGGACAGCTACCTTCCGTGAAGGACAACAAGTCGATGTTGCCAACGAACTCATGGGATTTGCTGTGCTGGTGACGCTGGAAGTAGCAATCAGTGGAGGATTTGCAGTGTTGGAACACCCGCAGGACCCACTGGAGCTTCGAACCACCCACCGTGAGGCCCCGAGCGTCTGGGGGACGGCACTGACGAGCTGGCTAAGGCAAGCGGGACTTTTCCAGGATCTGAGAGTGCTGCAGGGACATTACGGGGCCAAAAGCGCCAAACCGACAAACCTACTGATAGCAGGGCTATCATCTAGTACAATACAAGAGATAGAGCAGGCTAGCAGAACCACGAACTGCCCGAAGTCAACATCGATCGGACTGTGTGAGAAGGGCTGGGCTACTAGTTCCTTGAAAGAGTACCCGAAGGACTTTTGCTCTTTTTTGGCTAGGATGTTCGATCGGTGGTTGAATAAGGCTACTCGTGTGTCAGGGCCACCTCTGCTCGATGCAACATGGCTTAAAGCCATGCACCTTGCAGAGACTGACGTACATACGGAAGCAGGCCCCGACTTCCACCCGCTCTTAATTCAGAATTCAACTCGGCAAGGCGCTGAGTCTTCGGACACCGTGCGCAAATAGAAAGAAAGAAAGAAAGATCGTCCTTTGCTGTTCATTTCTTCCCTGTGATGTCTCATGCGTTTCTTGCGTTTCCTGTTTTTGTTGCGCATGTCTTGCACTTCCTGGCTTTTCTCCCGCTTTTCTTAACTTTCCTTCTTCTTGTCCTCTTGAGGTGTAGTGAATCCTGCCTTTTATTTAAAGTTTAGTTGATTTTCAATCCTTGATTTGCTTGGTGTTGCCTTATTGTTGCTGTTTGGCTTTCTATACTGTCCCTACTCTTGTTGCTTGTATTCTGCTCTGCTGGTTGCTGTGTTTTATTTCACCCAAAGGCCCTACGGGACAACCCAAGTGCATCATATGAACAGAGCATCTTCATTCTTTACTCCCTTCTCGATTATGATGCACTTGTCTCATGTTTGTTCGCCCTGCAGCCGGAGTTGTTGTTTTTGCTTTGTGGTCCAGTTGGTTAGTATTTTTTGCACACAGGCCCTAGACACCCTGAAACAATCATGGACATGGAAAACGGTCTCCTGGACACTTATGTCTCTACAAACAGCAAGCTTTCCACTTCCACTGGAGGAACTATCGAGAAACACGCAGATTTCCCCAAATATAGCCGCAACCCTTACCGTACTTCCATGAGAGACATGGAAGGTGATTTGTGTCATACTTCCAGTCAAGGCGCAGTTGGCAGACCGAAACAGCACCCAACTATGACCAAGCCATCTAAAACTTGATCAAGTCTTTGCAAGTGCTAGACTCTTACAAGTGCAACCAAGCCTCAGCTAGACAGACTCTAAGTGGCTTTAGGTCAGAGCCCTTCGACGAAATGGACCGAGACAACCCGAAACAGACCGCCGCGTTTTCCTCGACATGCTGCCTCGACCGCTCCTTGAGGATCTGGGCAACGACCAAGCCATTTGGGCAGGGAAACCCAGCGAGTTTGGGGGAAGCCATTTGACGTGCTGAAAGAGCATGACCCACAGCCAAAGACAGGCTCCAAACCATCCAAATCCTGCGCAAAGCACACGTTTGGACGGGAAAGCAGCATGCTTAACAGGATTTCATTCTGTTTCATGGTGTTTCTCTTGGGGGGGGGGCACTTCTGGTCCCGTCCATCCCCTTTCCATGTGCTGTGGCGCGATCGTGCCTGCAGGCCGGTGAGCCTGGGGGTGAGCTCAAACGCCTCTTGGCAACGACGGGAAATGGGATGAGGATGAACGACGGAGCTGAGACATTCTGACCCTAGGGATCCAAGAACCTGCTCAGAAGGTGTTTGGGGTGGGTTTGGAGGGTCCAGGAATGTAAGACCTATAAAGACATTCTGAGCCCCAAGAGGCTTCTTAGGTTATGAGATGTAAGACCTATAGACACCACCGATGGTAATGGCATTCTTTTGCCGATCAGTTGAGGCGGTTGAAAAAAGCGTCCGTGTGGGCATATGTTCCATACATGAAGTGTTTGGGAGACATTATCATTACAGGATAATTATCTATATATATATATATATACATGTTTCCAAATAATAGAGCTCGATATGGCTTTCAAGGGGCAGGGCATTGGTTTAAAGATCTCCCAAACACCTTGTGACCTACCTAGGCTCGCCAATGGGCCTGAACACCTACTACGTAGCACCCCAGGCGTCCAGCGTAGAAGGGCAATCTTTGGCCGAACGCAGCACGCAGTCGCCTGTCACCCGTGCTGTCGCCTGTGCCACAGCAACACACCGCAGTTCTGTCGGCACAGGTTTGGGGCAAGGAAGACGGGGGGGGCTCTTGGTACGGCAGTGAGAATGAAAGATGTTGCGGTTGACCATATATCTTTGAGATTCTTTGGATTTATTTGAGTCCTTTGATCACAGCATTCCGATTCCGGCAAAGGCACTGGTTGGACGTTCCATACTGCGCACTTGACTTGAAGGAGTACCCGCCAGATGTCCAAGCTGGCCTGCGGGCTTTGTCAGTGATGACATGTGATGACCAGCTGGACCAGCTGGAAAAACTGAGAAAATGCACGGTGCGGACCAGGTCATTACGTGACATCGGCGAGGCTTTCTGGCGGACATGTCGTAAGCTATGCTTGCAGCTGCTTGCGTGCGCCAAAGAGTTCAGCGGGTGCCTGAGGAATTAGATGATCAGCACTTGAGGCAAAACAGCACGGACACCTGAGTTTGGCAATTTTCATGCCAGCAGCTTAGAGGTTGATGAGTTACAGACATGTGTGCGCTAAACCTTTGGAGAGACATGCGCGTTTGGCCAACATGTGCGACGTGAACCTGCAGTAACACACCCAATGCAATACATCGTTTGTAAATGTTTCTAATTACGATTTTACACAGAGATACCACACAAAAATATAGGTAACATGAGCCTGTGTGTTGAACCCCATTCCTTGAGCATCGCTTCCACAGAAGCACACATGGTGCGAGGACCACCCGAGCACCGCCGATCAAAAGGCCATAAACACATGGGTCGACCGCTGAACATGTGTCTTCTTACCCCACAAAGGTAGACCCCCTATCCAGCGATGATTTTGGGATGTTGGATGAAACACCTCTTGGATGAGTGTTGATGCGACCTAGAACTTATTAGTCATTGGTCTCATTAGTCATGTGACTCATGTGATGACCTTTTCATGGAGCAAGATGTGGCAAGATGTTGAGCCTTGTTTGTTCCCCTTGTTTCGGGTGCGAAACCACGCGGAATCCCTGAGGTTTTGCTGCCACGGCCTCGGGTGGTGTGGACACGACACACCGGAGACAGCGACCCACTCCGAGTGTTTGGTCATCGGGGCGGCGGCAGCGACCCCGGTCTTTGCGTAAGGACACATGAGGACATCATGTTGGTTCATATTCATTCGATGACCTCACAAAGACCTGTTTTTTTTCTCATTGAAGCAAGTGCCATGTACAGCACAGAGCTTCAGGTTCTGCCTCTCATTTGTCCCAACACACTTTGCAACTTGGACCCTCCCTTGAACAAACAGCTGCTTAAAGTTGAACTATCTACCGAAACAAAACCGACAATTTGAAGGGTCCTGGATGAAACGCTTACTGTACTGTAAGGGGAGATACGGCATACGATGGTGTTCTCCAAAAGCAAACACTCGTATGTTCTTAAATTATTAAACGACATCGTCACATCGTGTTTATGAAATCATATCTCGACACTGCCAGATTTGCCGAGACAAGGCCAGGGATGGTTGAATTCAAGAGCTCTTGACAGAGTGGTTCTCGGCATCTCTCAATCTCCAGTTCACCGGAAGGGTCGTGTGCCAGGGATACATGCAAAAAGTCATTCCCAGACGCGACCTGTTTGGGCAGTCCGGACTGCCGTGAACTGGCCAGGAGTGGGGGTGGTTGGGGGGTCAATGGGGTCAATGGGGTGGTCGATTCAGACCCTTGGAGTCCCGAGGCCTTGGAGCTGAGACCTGTGAGCCTGGGAACTCAGGATAGGACGAGGAGGACGTGAAAAGGGTGAGAACTTGCAGTGCAGGAAAGGTGTACCTTAGTAATTGTCCTAGTAGCCTAGGGCTCCAATCCTATGCTCAGAAGGTGGTTGTTACCCCCCTGGCACCCACCCCAACCACCATCTCACGAGGTAGTTCAAGCCCTAGGGCTTTAGAATGTGTTACACCTGCCAGCACCTTCAAAGTGACCTGATTGGAGTCCCATCAGGCCTTTTCGTGACCTCAAACGGGATCAAAAGGTAACTTTGAAGCAGGTGCATCCTCCAAGCTTGTGGGCACCTGCAGGGCCAAGTAGGCAATTGTCAGAACGGATGTATATATAATATGTGATGACTGGTGAGTTTGAAATGATCGGTCGAATCGATGTTCCAATCTTTCAAGTTGCAGATGTTAAGCAACACAACGTTCATGCAATCAAGTGGATCTTGGAAGACCATGTGTGAAGGATGCATTTCAGTCAACTGGTGGGCTGCTTTCCAGGCACTCTGCGCTTCTCAGGCACTCTGCGCTTCTCTTCGTACAGGTGGACCTCCTTGGACATCGGATGGACCAGAGTTGACCCTCGGACATTGGACGACCAGAGTGGTCCGGAAAACGCACCATAATATTCATTTTTGAAGGTAGCAACAACTGCAACCAATCTGAAACAACCACACAAAGTGCTGTCTCAAAACGTGGAGTGACATTCACACCATTATAATTGTAATCCATCCGTCCCATCAGTTTGGGGGAATGAGATGGATCTGACAGTTGAGATGGGTTAAACGTCAAGTCGACCATTTGAGGACGGTACAGTGGAAAGGCACATAGACAGGCTTCCAAGTGGCATGAGTGGAATCATGGCTTGGATGGATTGAGGGTTGTTCGGCTCCAAGGAGCCCTTTTGAGCCCTCTCCACCCAGTGCCGTGCTGGGTGGCGTTTCCAGCTGAGGTCAAGAGCTCTTCGACTTGCGCTTCGCCATCGTTGAGGGCCCAAATAGGGGTGATTTCGCAGCCGAGAGTGGACCAGTGAAACCACGTTCCAACACCTCCAGGCTTCCTCCGGTGAAGTTTTTCCTCAATCAACATGTGACTCACCTCAGCGACCATTTTCACCAGGCCCGTGGATGGTGACCCATCTAATGTTTAGACCCGAACTGAGCCTAAGTAAGGGCAGGAGCCGTGTTTGGTCTACGTAAACTTTTGATTGTTTGGCCCTGCGAATTTGGATGCAATCCTTCATGTCTTCAAAATCACGGGGGCCTGGACCTCATTGAATGAGTGATCACTCCATCATCGGACCTTGGAATGGCCATGGAACACACCATGACCCCATGACCTCTTGCCCGATCTCATGGGCCACATCTTGGCCCTGAGAAGGACCACCCGGTGGGGTTGGAACATGTTTCCGAATGACCAACCATACCACGTGGTGGAATTCAGGCTCCATGTGGACCTCGGAGCCAGGGCGTGTCAGGGCGTGTCAGGGCGTCTCGCAGCGACACGCCGTGAGGCTCAGAACTTGGCTGCTGTGTGCTTGAAGCTGGAGAAGTACCATGAGGCCCCCGTGCGCGGGGCATGGGGTGGGTTGGAGGAAGAAGAAGAAGAAGATGATGATGTTGATGATGACGAAAACGCAAGACAAGACAAAATAAAGTAATGTGCTACAGTGCTACCCCTCCAAACTCTTTTGGTAGAAGTGATACCCTTTCAACAATCCAGAAAGTCGGCTTCGCTTGTGGAAAGCCACGCGCTCCACCAGAAACTGGGCTGAACCACTTGGATAGGCACGTATGAGGTGATACATATCCCAAACTCTCCATGGGACTGGAAAACATCCCTACATGGCCCTGTTCAACAAACATGCTAGTCCCATGGAGTGTTTGGATATGAGGTGTGGACACATCTCAGACAAACGTCAACGCAGAGCAGCATCTCATTTGGGTCATATAGTCTTCTGTATTTGCTTGGGTCGTGGCAGAGGTTCGTGTGTGTGCGCACTCTGCAATTGAAGAGCACGAGAGGCACTCGCAGATCGGCTGTTCTTCGGGTTCTTCGATCCTCGAAGCTATTCAGACGCTCCGTGAAAACACGACTTCCTAGAAACAGACCCCTCAAAAGGATGACCTGGTCCAACGCCATTAAACACTCCCGGTCCGTGTTTGGGTACATGAATGTGTCGCAAGGCCCAGAACAGGAGCCATTCCTGGGCTGTGAATCTCTGGTGTTTGTCAAGTCTAACAGTTTAACATGGTGGTTCACTTGGACATTAAACACAGGTTCCTTCAATCAATCATTGCCAACGGGTTTAATCGAGATTTCAGCCAGTCCCATTGGATGGTGCTCGTCTTGACAAAAAATGCCCGTCGACACGACCTGTCTGGCACTGCCAGTCCGGACGGCCTTCAAAAAGGCCAGGGGTGGTTGATTTCAGGGGTTTACGGCTACGGTAAATATGCAAGTCCCAGTGCCAGCCCCATAGGTACTTGGAGTCCTAGGGATGGAGTGGGCCATAGTGGGCCAATGCCCTGAACCGCTCTCAACATCCAGGCCATCGACTGGGCCAATGCAGCCCTGTGCATGGATGGAAAGGCACCGAAGGTGACGAGTCGAGCGGAGCGTCGGCGATGGGCGGTAGGAGGATGCAGGAGGATGTAGGATGTATGAGGTCGCATCAGGCTAGAAGTATTTGGAAAGCAACTGCATATTTGTTGGGTCATTTGTTTCAACACTTGGCAAGCCTGGGCCAGGAGGTCTTGAATTAGTATTGAGCTGAGCAACTTCTTGAAAGGTTCAACAACGAACACCATGGCTTTTGAAGCCAAATTCAAAAGGAATTGGTTCATGCCTTCAGATGCCGGTTGAGGGGCGTTGAAAAAACCGCGCTGGGCGCATGAGAGGACCAGTTCCTTTTGTTGCATGAGGCTTGATTGGCTAGCGATGATTGGCCAATTCCTTCCAAATTTCAATTGATAAGGGTGATTTAAAGCGGAATCCACTGGAGACCAGAGGTTATTTTTTCCAATGAACTTCAAACCCGCCTCTTGTGCGAGGCTTTGATGCGCTTGGGCTTGGGCTTATTGCGCACAGGTGGGGCGCTGAGAGCGTTAGAAGATCGGTGGAATTCCTGAAGATTCATGTATAAACTCTTGATTAAATAGGATTAAATTAAAAACTAGCCTCCCCCATTTGGATTGAAAAAGCTCTCCATATGGAGGGTTTATTAATCAAGAGTCGACATTACTTTGCAGCAGTTCATTTATACCAGCAGTTCCAAGTCAGGATGCTGAATGGAGGATAATTGGGGGTGCTCATGTCACATCCACTCAATTCAAAATGGCATATCATTTGGTGTGTGCTTTGTTTTCTTTTTCAGGGCGGGTGGACCCCTGGACCCGGGCGGCCTGGAGGACCTCGAGGACACCTGACATGATGTGACATGTCGAAGCTTGAAGCCCTTGAAATGAAAGCAACATGAATGA